ACTGGTACTTATGTGTCACTGGTATGTATTCGACAGTATCTGAAACAGCTACCTAGTATGAAATTACAACTATTTATCACTTATACTCATTATAGAGTCTCAGAAAGTTATTTTACACTGCTAAAAGTTTTTTTTTTAAAGTACCTGCTTAAAATTAACCTAAATATATACTACTATTCTTACTCATTTCCTGTTCTCTTCTACAAGGCTGAGACTAAGAAAATATTCTCATACACTAAATACAGCACTAAATACATACAATCCAGTCTTTTATAAATGATGCATGAAAGTGTCTAAGAAGTCCTAAAAGATTATCAATGGACTATGTCAATCTAAGGAAAAAAATGTCTTGTTTCAAGTATTTCACTCATACTGATAAGCAATTTGCATCAAATTAGAATCTGAGTAAGAAGCTAGTCCTTGAGTCTCAGAAGCACACCTTTCTTAAGGAAATTCAACTGTCTTAAAGACTTTAAGTTTTGAACATCACTTAATGACAGTCTAATGTCTTGGAGACCGAAAGCCATTAAAAAGTAATGAAATCCCAGCCAATTCTATAGTCTGTACAAGTTCTTCAGGGAAAAAAGAACAGATGACTTACATGATTCTTCGCCTGTTTCCTCTGCTCTATGAAGCAGAGTCAAATCAAGATAGAACATGGGCCTTAGAAGTCAGGTGATTCTTTGCTCTGGTCCTGACTACATCAAGTTAGGAAAGTCAACAGATCTGTGCATCATGTTTCCCCACCTATAAAAACAGGGACAATACCATATACCCTCTATCTCCTTTTAGGGATGTTTTGAGGATTAATAAAATGAAGCCTATAACAACAGTAAGTGCTTTGCAACCATTTCCAGAGGGGGTAGTGAGGGGAGAGGATACAAAAGATATTGCCAAAATACAAGGCATTTTCCATTGCTTTTCTGAAACACTAAAAAACAGTCAAATTTAGCCTAATTTTTTAAAATTGTGGTACCAAACAACGAGCATTTCCCTCTGCTTGGAGGGGTAGGAAAGGATGGAAAAGATAAATTCCTTTCCAAATATATGCCTATTTTTAAACTTAAGGGAAAGGAGGAAGCAGGCAGCAAGGCCTGAGGCTACGAGGAGCCTGGGATCTGACACTTTTTATCTGTGGTGCGTGCAGGGAAAGGAAACACTTTAATACACTTTTAAAAAATATATACACTTTTATTCCAGCAAGCAAAAATTCAGCTTAATAAATTAAATGATATTAAGTCAGCCTTAAATTATGGGCCAAAGGTACACAATTATCCTTAAATCTCTCTCTACTATCCTGCAGTACTACCCTGGCCAAGAGTAACAGTTCTAATACTTAACACAGTGACAATTTAGAAATTAAAAAGAATTTCAACTTATAAACAAGTCAACTCAACAGTGTTATTTATGCTACAAAAGCATTTTTGCCTTACAAAGAGAGGGATACAGAATTCTTTGCAAATTTTCGCTCCTTCAGTGCATTTAAGGACATACAGAAAAATACTCAGTAGAAAATCAAGACAATAAAGCCAGGTATTAGGCTGATGCTGTCAACTGAAGACTATTAAGAAAGGAAATTCACAGTCCCTGAAATCATACTAAGTCAACTAAAAAGGAATATGCTTTTCAAAACTTTGATAATTCCTCAGAGACATGCATTTTTTGTAAGTGTGTTAAGTCTTGAATTTAACTTTCATACTCATCCTTAGAATACTGGGCCTTAGTTCAAGGGAAGTCTTTCTGCTTCATAAAAATAAACAAAATAAATATAAAACGATTTTACTAGCTTGAAAACCAGTTAACTAACACAGAGCAGCTTTTTTCAAACACACAGTTACTCAGTTATCAGTTTGCTGGAGGTGCTGCTTTCTTGTAATTCTCCCCACAGAGGCATAAAAATACAAGTAATGTATATGTGTATCTGTGTACTTGGGAGTATCCACCAATTTACAGCATCTTATGTGTTAGTCGCTCAGTTGTGTCCAACTCTTTTGCGACTTTATGGACTGTAGCCCACCAGGCTCCTCTGTCCACGGAATTCTCCAGGCAAGAATACTGGAGTGGGTAGCCATTCCCTTCTCTGGGGGATCTTCCTGACCAGGGAACAAACCCGTGTCTCCTGCATTGCAAGCAGATTCTTTACTGTCTGAATCACCAAGGAAGCCCCAGAAGCATCTTAAGTCATTACGAATACTTTTAGGCCAGTAGATTTTTTTCCCTCTGCCATGTCTTAGGCAACAGCTTTCCTGCACCTTAACAACAGATTAGGTGAGGCAGCAAATACAATGGCTACTAAAGTGGTGGGCTATTTTAACTACAACAACTCTCAAAACATACAACAGGATTCAATAATTCAAGGCCAGAATTATTACTTTTATTTAACAGGGAGAGGGGAAGTTCTAACCAAGAGGTGTAATGTGCTCAAGATCACTTGGCAAGTCAGTGGCCATAGGCAGTATTAGAACACAGGTCTCCTAGAGATCCTAGACTACTGGATCCATGGGTAAAACTGTGAACTGAATAGTAAGAAAGAAAATTTCTTTGAATAAACATTTATACAAATAAATACTTGTATGTGTGTCTAAATATATCTAACAGAGGTGATACTGATGGATGAAAATAATTTTAATAACCTAAAATATTTGTAGTCAATACACAATTCTGTTTATAGAAAATTTACATCTCTAATATCAGTGATGCCATAAGGACACACCAAAGTTAAATGACTATGTCACAAATCATACTTATAGTAATACAGTAATGGTTTACAATGCTGGAGATACTCTTTTGTTTTGTCAGACAAGTACTTCATAGAACTTGAACACTTACCTTAAAGCAGGTAACACAAAACACTTAGCATTTCAAAAAGCCTTGCAAAGTGCCACCTCCCCACAGATCTAGGATAAAATAATTTATGCTAGGCAATAATGACCACAGATTTCACATAGGTCCAAGTCTTTCTAATGGGCAGACCAGCACAAAAGAAATTAATGGATCATTCTCTCTAAATTTTGAAACCAATTTTTTAAAACTCACATAAATCAATATCAAATTGTGAGCTTTATGCTTACAACACAGAAAATAATTCTAAAATTAAAATTAGTCTAAAAATTAAAACTGCTGTTTATATATAATCAAAATGAAGCAATGAATTTATTACCTAGTGCCATTATCTAGCATGCAAAAATTGTCAAGAAATTGTACAACTAAAAGAAAATTAACTAAACTGTGTATACGGAACCCAATCCTTTCAAATTTATTGAAATAGCTAATAATCCTAAGAATAAAAAGGGCACTAATAAAAATATTGAATTTACATCTAAAAGGCTCTGCAGATCTTACTTAATAGGCAATACTTTGCAATAGAAATAAAAAACAGGAAGCTTCATTCTGTTTAGTCTAATTTCAAGCCCTATTATAAAATGTAACAAATACATAGTTCACTGCAATGTTATTTAATTGGCACTGTCCCAAGAAAGCAGTTATTGTTCTACACTTACAAATGTCACATGATTAATGTCATGTTTCAGTCAGCTGACTGTATTGTTCCATATTAATAAATAAAAAATACACTCATTTTTAAAAATGCTTGACTTTCAATGTTACTTTTTTTTCCCTTCTAACTAAAGAGTAAACCACATAATCCTGGCAGGAACCTCACAAATTATTTCCCTCTCAGTCATTTCTAAAATACCATATTGACTCAAACCTTTCAGGGCTAACAGCAACATGACATGCCTGCTCAGTTCTGATCTCTAACAGGCTATTGCCTCAGTGTAACTGACTTCAACAGAACCACTGATTAACAATACAATTTTCACCAATGTAACAGAAAAATTATGTGGGTTGCATGTTTCGATGTAAACCAGACATGTCGAAGAAAATGTCCACCTATCTACATGCATTTGTTGAATCTGCAGAATTTACATAAAACAAACTGTAAAATTAAATAAATGTCACTACAATTCATAACCAATACCTCCTTAAGTGAAGTACAACTAATGAAACTGTTAATTATATCCTTTTGATTCCTATAAAAGTGGCTTCAAAGCAAGGAACTACCAAAGTTTCAAGACAGCATTTGGCTGCCTTAGCTGTGATGAACTCTTTCTAATCCTGCATTTCCAAAAAAAAAAATAAAAGAGCAAAAACAAAAAGGTTTTCACGTAGTTTAAAAGTATCATCAAACTAACAATGAGAAAATAAAAAACATCCGAACTCACCTTTATTTCCTTGCCCTTTAGGTCTCTGTGTAGCAAGATGAAAGGTGTAGTAATAAGAAGGAAAAAAAAAGGGGGGGGGGAGAGGAAAAGTGTGTTAACCCGAGACGTTACCGGAGACAAGTTATTTTAAACAATCCGCGTAGGAGTGAAACCCACCACATCCTCCATCGCCACCGATCTCCCCACAATCCCGGTCCTGAAACCTCCCAGCCGCCACTCGGAAGCCGTCTCCCCGGGCTCGCTCGCTCTCAGCCCCGCGTCTGCCGCCCTCGGGACGCGTCCGAAGGCCTCGGAGCGCAGTCCTGCCCGCACCCTCCGCGGCCGCCCGCCCGGGCCGCAGGCTCCGGGGCCACAGAGCACGCCCCGGCCCGGGCTGCGAGACCGCAGCAACTTGCGCCCCGGGCACCGTTACGGGCCGGGCAGCGGCGGCGACAGGGAGGAGCCGAAGCCCAAGCGAGGGTGGAGCTCCGCGGCTCGGGCCTTAGCCAAGCCTGCGGCCTCTGCTCCCTCACCTGATCCACGCTAGTGGCTGACATTCTTCACCGCAACCCGAGAGCTGCTGCTGCTGCTGCTGCTACCGCCGCCGCCGCCGCCTGGGCCTCTCCCCGTGCACTCACAGCAGTTGGCTGCCGCCCTCGGCCGAGAGGCTCTTCCTGCCGCCGCCGCTCGCTGAGAAGCCAGAAAGACGGCCTCGCGCTCGGGAGTTGGTGGAAGGGGCTCGTCTCTTCCGCTTGCACGCTCCTCTTCCCCTCTCGCTCTTCGCTTCTCGGGTCCACAATGGCGGACAGACTCCCTGGTCTCACTTCCGCTCCGAGCCTCCCTGACCTTCCGCTCTCCACTCTGACGTCCGCGCTCACCTCGCTCTTCCTCCCCCACCCTCCCGCCGCCGACCTTGGCTCCGCCCCCGCCTCGCCACGTCATCGGAGACGGGCCCGCGCGGTCGGCCTCTTGGCGCAGGCGCCGCGGTGGGAGCGCGCCAGGGAGGCTGCGAGCGCCAACTTCCAGCGGCGCGTCTTTGCCTTCTTTCTGTCCGGCTCTGACGCCGCTGGGCGTGCGTCGGGGGGCGGCATCCGGCGCATTCTGAACAGGAAGTTAGCCAGGGAGGCTGGCGGAGTTTCCCGGGATTCTTGAGCGGGGCTGGCGCGAAGGGAGGGTTGGCTGGTAGGAACGCCGCAGCCGAGCCGGGCCCAAGCCGCCCCCAAAGCCGAGGCCTGCGGGGGGCAGTCCGCCGCCTCCGGGACCGAGTTGCTGGCCCGGCCGGGAGCCAGCACATGCAGCGCAAGTGGCTGTGTTAGAACTCTGGGCGCCGACACTTAATAGCACATAGCGGGTGCCCAGGCGAGTGTTCATTCTCGCCAAGCCCCAGGAGCATGGCAGGAATAACTCATGTTCTGCCGTTCCCTCTGAGTTCCCCCTGCCGATGATTTTGATGAATGAATAAAGTTACTTTGGGAAAGGTAAGCATGGTTGCAGAACGCTTTTTCAATCCTAAAAGGACAGACGTTTCAAGGTTCAAGAGAAACCGAGAAAGTTACTCTTCTGCAAAACCAAAAGAACTGATTTGCAGCATTTTGAATGTTTGGTTAAAATTACGTCTTTGCATTAAAGGCAAAGACTCCTTGCCTAACGCGTGTGAATGTGGACTCTTACGTAAAGGAATAACTTAAATGGCCAAATCCTTAGCTCAAAACTGTCGCATAAGTGATAGGTTATAAGGTGTAAAATTGTTAAAGTATAAGATTAACTTTGTGTTTAACAATGCAACAATATTTTGGAAGCACTGAATAATAGAGGTGAATCCTATCTTGAGAGTCCAGTGTTTCATATACACCGCCAAGAGGCATTTTTCAGGTCAGCTCAGCTTCCCCGCTGGGAAGATATGTTTTTGACACATTCTGACCGTGCTCAGTTTAAAGATCAGAAAGAGGATGGATAGTGAGAGACAAATTATAATGAACCTTGTATGCATAGTAATTGCCCAGATTCACTTCCGTAGGTAGCAGCATTTAAACTATTTGAATTTCCCCTAGTATTTAAGACAATTTCTAAGACTTTTTGTTATCTTTAAGTAACATAGTATAAAGGAACCAAGCACGGAAAATTCAATTCGAGGATTGATTAATGCATTTTTGGAGGGAAGATATCCATAAATATGCTTAAGGTGAAAGCAACCTCTGAGGAGAACACTGAACCCCCTCCCCGTCCCCCCCTCCCCCAACAATTAAAACCTGCTTTGAAACAGAAAGTCAACAACTTTGTTTCATTCTCATGTGTGCGCCTGCTCAGTCACTCAGTCGCGTCCGACTGTCTAGGAAGCCACGGACAGTAGCCCACTAGGCTCCTCTGTCCGTGGAATTTTCCAGGCAAAGAAATTTACAGTGACAAGAAAAAGCAGAAAACAAGTATCCCTAAGGTTCCCCTAAAGCGGTGTATTCCAGAGTGTTTCCCTAGGCTAATAGCATCTCTGGGGAACTTAAATGAAAATTCTTGGTACCCACCATATATACTAAGTCAGAAACTTTAGGGTGGGGAACTTCTTTATTTTGAAATACCCGTAGATTAACAAGTGTTGCAAAGAATTTCTTTGTATCCTTCACCCAGCTTTCCCTAATAGACACGTATTACTTAACCAGTTACTACATTTATCTAAACCAGGAAACTGACATTGTTATAGTACTGTTAGCTACAGACCACCTGGATTTCCTTTTTTTTTTTTCACTAATATTCTTTTTCTTCGTTGTCTCCCCCCAGTTTGTGAGTTTCTTGGTCTAGTCTCATGGCCTTGACACTGTTTTGAAGAGTATAGAGCAGATGTTTATAGAATGAACTAGGTGGGGGTTGGTGGCTCAGCGGTAAAGAATCCACCTGCTAATGTAGGAGATGTGGGTTTGATCCCTGGGCCGGAAGATGCCCTGGAGAAGGAAATGGCAACCCACTCCAGTATTTTTGCCTGGAAAAACCCACGAAAAGAGGAGCCTGGCCAGCTACAATCCGTGGGGTCACAAAAGAGTTGGACATGACTTAGTGACCTAACAACAAGGTTGGGGTTATTATGGATTTAGGGAAATGATACCACAAGTGCAGTGCCTTCCTCATCTCATTACATCGCAGCTTGTGACATCAGTATGACTTGACATTGATCATGTTAATCCTGGTTATTTGGGCTAAAGCTGTGTCTGCCAGGTTTTCCATGGCAAAATTAGTATTTTCCACTTTCCATACTCTAGTCTTGTGAGGTGAGTAGTTAGATGCAGCCCATACTCAAGGAGAAGGGAATTAAAGCTCCCCTCCTGGAGTATTTGGAATTCCTGTGCAGGGAAGATCTGACCTTTGTCCTGTATTTCTATCACCAGTGACTCATGGATGTTTATCCAGTGCTTTCATAATTAATTTAGTTGCTCAAATTGTTCCAGTCTTCGGCCCCTGGGAGATCAGTTTGATTTTTGTGTGCTTTTGCCTTACCTCTGTCCTCTTTTTTTTTTTTCCCTCCCCAAGCACTTCACTTTGGAGTACAAGTATTTCATTCATTGTAATATTTACTACAGGGAAATTTACTGTGACAAGGAAATGGCAAAAGAAAACATCAAGTAGCCCTAAGTCTCCCTAAAGCACATCAAAGTATGATCCTGGGATAAAAGCATCAGTGGTACCTGAGAGTTTGTTAGAAATGCCAGTTCTCCAGGGTGCCACCCCATAGTTAAAAAATCAGAAACTGGAGATGGGTCCCAGCAAGTTGTATTTTATCAAGCTCAGGTGATTGTGAAGCACAATCCTTAAGTTTTAGAATCACTGCACCTAAGTTTCCTCAAAGATCCAGGTCAAAAACCTACCCAAAGGACCCATAAATTCTGTTATCAGCCTTACTGAAAGAGTTTCTGAAGCACTTCTAGTTATTTGCTTTAAAAATAAAGCAGACAAGACATTGGCAGCTGTTTCACCAAAGAGGGTATACAGATGGTAATTAAGCATTTGAAAAGATGTTCAGTGTCTTTTGCCATTAAAAAAATGCAAATTAAAATCACGGTGAGATATCACCACACACCTATCAGAATGACTAAAAAAGGTGACCAAATGCTTGCAAAGTTGTAGTGGAGAACTGCATCACCCTTACATCACTGGTGGGACTGTAACTAGTACAATCCTTATGGAAAACAGTTTAACAGTTTCCTATAAAGCTAAGCATGGGATCACCAATGATAGTTACATTCTTGAGCACCTACCCCAAAGAAATGAAAACTTGTGGTTGACTAAATAATGGCTTTGCTATATTTTGACTAAATCTAGTCCCCGGAGTTTGTGAATATGATACCTTACTTGGCAAAAGGGTCTTTGTAGTTGTGATTAAGTTAGCGATGTTGAGATGGAAAGATTATTTTGGATGATTCAAGTGGGTCCAATAAAATCAGAAAGGCCCTTATGAGAGAGAAGCGACAGTCCACAGGGTCACAAAAGAGTTGGACATGAATTAGCGACGTAACAACAAGGAGTGCCAGAGTTAGAAGATCTTGTGATGTTGGAAGCAGCACTTGGAACATAGCTATGAGCATAGAAATGCTGACCAGCTCCAGAAAGAGAAGGCCAAGATCAGAATCACCCATGGAACTTCCAGAAGGAACTCAGAATTCTGATCTCCATAACTACAGAATAATATATTTGAGGGTTTTTTAGATTACGCTTGAAGAAATCTGGGCTTCCCAGGTGGCTCAGTGGCAAAGAATCCACCTGCCAATGCAGGACACACAGTTTCAATCCCTGGATCTAGGTGATCCCATGGAGGTGGAAATGGCAACCCACTCCAGTATTCTTGCCTGGGAAATCCCATGGACGGAGGAGCCTGGTGGGCTACTGTCCATGGGTCGTGAAGAGTTGGACACGACTGAACACAATTTGTTGCAGCCACAATGGGAAACTAATGCATTTCTGTATTCACATAAACATCTATACACATTTTTATAGCAGCTTCATTTATAATAGCCAAAAACTGAAAAAAACCTAGGTATCTTTCAGTGGATGAATGGGAAAACATTCTGTGCTACATCCATACCTGAAATACTAGTCAGTAATAAAAGGGAAAGAAAGAAAAAGCTGACATAGAAAACAACTTGAATCTTGGGATAAGTGAAAAAAGCCAGTCCTGAAAGCTTATATACTGTGTGATTCCATATATATATATATATATATATATATATATGTTGTTCAGTCGCTCAGTTGTGTCCAACTCTTTGTGACCCCATGGACTGCAGCACACCAAACCTCCCTGTCCTTCACTATCTCCTGGAGTTTGCTCAAACTCATGTCCATTGAGTCGATGATGCTATATATATATTTAATAGTCCTGAAATGACAAAATTATAGAAGAAGGACAGATTAGTGGTTCCCCGAGGGTTAAGGAAGATTTGACAATAAAAGGGAAGTAGGTACAGTTGTAAAAAATCAACAGGGGGGATCCTCCTGGTGATGGAAAGTTCTGTCTTGAACTAGAGAGATGTCATTCTCCTAGTTGTGACATTGCTCTATAGTTCTGCAAGACGTTCCCAGTGGGGGGACCTGAGTAGAGAGCGTACTATGTCTTCTGGATTATTTCTTACAGTGTGTGTGAAGGTACACTTATAACAAGATAAAAAGTGTGATTTTAAATAAGGAATCACACCTTTCAAAAAGATAAAGCAAACATGGAAAAAATGGCATGCCTCTTATTAAATGAGATAATGTATAAAGAGTACTGTTTGTTTTTGAAGACTGAAAATGTGGTAAACTGGCTTAATATTCAACGAAAAGGGAGGATCTATTCAGTATGGTTCCCATCTTTCAATTTACTCTGTGTAAGAAGACTGAGAAGAAATCAATCACAATGTGAACTCAGTTTACATGGTTATTTCCTTCTTTGTAAGTTTCTGTTTTCTAGATTTTTCTACTCTTACAATTTTAAAACATTGACAAGTATTTACCTCTAAAATAATTAAGGATGAGCTGAGTCAGCTTAGAGGATTTTTTCCCACTCTTGATATGTGATCACTTTCAATGTCTAATCAAATTTCTCATCTCCCATCATTGATATCTGATCACCCTAGCC